GGGAAATGGGAGGCGGGGAGGAGGCGGAAATTTTTTTTTCAATAAAAACTTATATTTAAAAAAAAAGAAGAATGCTGCTTGGTTACTGAGTTGCTGCTGCTGGCTTGCCATGCTATCTGTCCTATATAGCCCACCTGCACCAGTCAAAGTGGGCTGGGCCCCTTTTTACATCAGTGGTGGCATGGGCTGTTTTGTTCCACACTTGAAAGGAGAGGCAGAGGCAGGCAGATCTCTGTAAGTTCGAGACCAGTCTGGTATACAAATTGAATAGACAAAACAGCTATTCAAAGGGCTACACAAAGAAACCCTGTCTCAAAAGAAGAAAAAGAAGAAGAGGAAGTGGAGGAGAAAGAGGAGGAGGAAGAGAAGAAAGAGGAGGAGGAGGAAAAGGAGGAGGAGGAGGAGAAAAAGAAAAACGAAATGCCTCCCGGGCTGATCTGATCTAGACAATGTATTAGCTGAGGTTCCATCTCCCCTGGTGACTCTAAGTTCATAATATCTACACAAAGGACAAAAGTAGGAAAATTATAAGTTTGAGGCTTTTTTCAGGGCTACATAGTAAGGAGGGGCAGGGATAGAGAAAGACAGGTCCAGTCAGTCAGAGAGACAGAGAAATATTACTCATTTTGCTGGTAAAGTTATCCATTAATGAATTGACTAGCGCACCAAAGCATGTTTACCTATGAAACTGATGGACTGGAAATTTTTATGTGATGTCTACCAATAATTTCTTTTTGTTTAAAGTTAAATCAAGGGTCAATAAATAAATATATAGATAATAGACTTCTTAGAGTGTGTGGTCATAACAACAGTTAAAATATATTCTTTAAATACTAAAAGTTTTATGACAAAGAAAATAAAAATATAGGATAAGATATCAAACAAAGAAAACATTGAAATAAAAATTATACAGAGTGTGCACCATATGCATGCATATGCCCACACCCATGCACACCGGCACCCATATGCACCTGCACACACATGAATATGTATACACAGAGAGAGAGAGAAAATGGAACTAAAGTGCATAACTCGGAGTTGCTATGCATAAAAACATAAACGACAAGACTATGCCTTGAGCATTTAGAAAACTATCTTAATAAATGGTTTTCACTCTTAATCATAGCTATTGGCTCTTCATGTCATGACAGCCACGCGAAACGCTGAGGACAGGGCCTGCACCAAGCAAAGGAGCCACAGAAGGCTGTCACTCAAGTGTAGTAATCTGAAAGGGACAAACAGCAAAGCCTGTCTAGTCTCCATTCCTCTCCGTGACTACAAGTCACAGGCCGCAGAATCTGCCGTTTTCTTCAGCCCATCTTCCTGCCACAAACCCGGGGAGTGACTCAGCTCATCAACTATGATTCTGGGGTTTAATATACACATTATAAACCCAAAACTGAGTGCAAGGGCAGACAACGCCTGCATCAGGGCAACAGGGAGCTGATGCCTTTGTTGGCCATGTCGAGGTCACCCCCGTGCCTACACAGGGCATCATGAATGATCCGTGGGAGAACTCAGGAGGAAGGTTTTGGTGATTCCCAGTTCCACCTCTCAGGCCAACTTTCAAAGCCTCCCTTGAATAGGACAGAACTCTTCTGTATAAACATAAAAGACAAATGCATTCTCGGCAGTGGGGGGGGGGGGGACGGGGACACAAGAAGTACCTGAAGGTGCCACTAAAATGGAGGGATGGCAGAAAAACTCAAATCCAACCCAGAAGCATAAACACAGAAGATAGTTTGATTGTCGGGAGCCTGATGAAAGCATACATGGCCCGTTGTTTTAAGAATAAAGAGCTAAGATATATCAAAGGCAAACTTGGCCATTACTAGCCAGAATGTACTTCAAGATCTTGAGGAGCTGGAGAGTCGGTGCTGGGAAATACAAATGGCGGCATTTCTTTGCAGGCTGCAGCCACACCCGGGATCAGAAAGAAGAGATGGCCTTTTTGCAGGCAAATCCTCCTTTGTTGGGGGGGTAGGAAGGGTGCCTATGTGGACATCTTTGTTCACAGGAAAAAGAGATAAAGACAGACTGAGAGGTAAGGAGGGGCAGTCAGGGAGACTTGAGGAGAATGCTAGAATCTGCTGCCAGATGATGCCGGGCTGAACATTTGGGGCTTACTTGGGGTTGACAGGCTGGTCTCTGTGGTCCCCTGGTGCTAGAGACAAGTACAAACCCCTTTTTGGTGGGGCTCTTGCTGGTGTTGGTTAGGGATCGCTGACTGATTCTTCCAAACATTTCAGATCCATCAGTCTGTCAGAAATTGAAAAGCTGGAAATGGAACAAAGGCGGAACCTCCTTCTC